TGACTCAACGCCTGGAGCTGGAAAGGGAAGTGCCCAGACCAACACTTCCAGGCTGTCCCCCTCCAGTGGACATGGATGAGAAACAGAGGCCGTGCTGCCTCAAAGGGCAGAGAACAGGGCCAGAGCAGACTGCTCTGGGGACTGCACAGAGAGCTGCCATTCCAGATACTCCAGCTTTGCTTCCCTTATCACCCCTGCAGTGACGTGAGGAGCCTGGGCGATCCCACCCCCCTCTCCAGCCTCCTCTGACCCAAAACACATTACCCACCACCTTCGGCACCTTTCTGCCTCCTCCCCAGGGTTGAATTCACAGAGGAAATCTGTAAATAAAACCAAGGCTGCCTGGGAGAAAGGAGGCTTGGGTTTTGCCAACACAATGTGCAGTAAAAATATCTCTCTTTTAAGAGAGAGAGAGAGAAATCTGAAGACTCGAGATCAGTAACATGTAATTATCATCTGGTTTGAGTGGAGAGTTCTAATAGTTTCCAGAAAAACACAAGCCATGAACACGGAGTGCATTTTCCAAGGCAGAGAGATCTGTGCTCCAGCAGCGCCATCTTGGAAACTGTGCAGTCCTTGAGGCCTCCCCAGGCAGAGTGAGAAGCCACCAGCCTCCCTGTCTCCCCTCCTCACCTCCTTTGCCTTCCACACTGGACGGGAGGGCTTGAGAATAGAAACAGCCTGTGAACTTCGCCCCAGCAGGCTCAGCTCAGGACCAGGTGAATAGATATTAGACACACTAGAAGGTGCAGGGGAGATGTCTTAGCTTCTTCCTTGGGGATGGCAAAGCCTCCAGGTGGCAGGGACAGCAAGATCCCCGCAAATTTCTGTTGTCCTTTATTCTGAAGCAAGAGAACCCTAATTTTAGCTGGATGCATGGTGGCCCAAAATAGACTATCTTTCCCAGCTTCCCTTGTAGGTGGGGGCCACGGTACTAAGCTCTGACCTATAGGGTATTAGTGGAATGTATGTGCAACTTACAAGCTATGTCCTTTTTGTTGTTGTTGTCGTTTTGAGTCGGGGTCTCACTCTGTCACCCAGGCTGGAGTGCAGTGGCATGATCACAACTCACTGCAGCCTCGACCTTCGGGGCTCAAGCAATCCTCCCCCATCAGCCTCCTGAGTGGCTAGGACTATAGGTGCGCACCACCATGCCTAGCTTTTTATTTTTACTTTTTGTTTTTTGGAGATGAGGTTTCACTGTTGCCCAGGCTAGTCTTGAATTTCTGGGTGCAAACAATCCTTACCTGCAGTGAGACAGTCATGGCTCACTGCAGCCTCGACCTCCTGGGCTCAGGCGATGCTCCCACCTCAGCCTCCCTAGTAGCTGGGTCTACAGGCGTGCACCACCACTCTGAGCTACTTTTTTGCTTTTTGTGTAGGATCAAGATCTTGCTATGTTGCCCAGGCTGGTCTTGAACTCCTGGTCTCAAGCAATCCTTCCACCTCGGCCTCTCAAAGTGCTGGGAATACAGGCATGAGACATCACACCCAGCCCAGGATGTGTTCCTAAAGGCCCTTCTTCCTTTTCTGTTTTCCTGCAGGAAGGGATACAGATGTAATGTTTGGAGCTACGTAGCCATTTTAAAACTTAAGGCGCACCTGGGAATGGAGGCCACACATGGCAGAGCAACAAGATGGAAGGAGCTGGGGTCATTGGGGATCATCAGGCCCAGACTGCTACAGGGGAAAAAAGCCCCTGAGACTGGGCTTAAAGGCAGTCCTTAGAGTCGAAATGAGCTAAAAGATCTCATAAATTGAGAGGAGAAATACAATAACCCAACTCTTTAAAAGGAAGCCTGCACTTGGCGAGGTGAGAGTCTCCAGGAGGCTCCCAGCTTCGACCTCAGACAAGCCGCCGGTCTGATGGAAGGTGGAACGGCCCAAGCAACTTCTTCTTTTTCTTTCCCTCCTGCTCCTTGGTGGGTTCATTGGCTTCTCCTGGTACCCGTGGCCGTGTTGAGAAGACGCATCACACCTTCTAATTTACGGAAGCCTCGTGAGCGTGTACCCAGCGTGGATAGAAATGCTCTTTCTTGTGTATTATCTCTGTTTTACAGCTGGAGAAACTGAGGCTCAGGGAGGCGGTGCAGCTGGGGAGCCCTGGAGAAGGGGATAAGATGGAGCCCTTGTCTGGGAACCTCCTTGCGTGCTGGGCCTCCCCCACCACAGCAGTTCGCGGCAGAGCGGTCCGAGGCTGTCGGGTCCACGGGTGGCTTCAGGATGGGGGCTCAGGAGACGGGAAGGGCCATCCAATCACAGTCCAGATGGAGATGGGGGACAGGAAGCGTCATCCAGTCAGGTCGAGATGAGGGATGGAAAGAGCCGTCCAATCTCAGTCCAGATGGAGGCGGAGGACAGGAAGGGCCATCCAAGCCCTGTCCAGACGGGGGTTGGGGGACGGAAAGGGCCACCCAGTCACTGTCCGGATGGGGCTGGGGGACGGGCAGGGCCATCCAATCACTGTCCAGATGGGAGTGGGGGAAGGGAAGGGCCGTCCAGTCACGGTACAGATTAGGCTCAAGGAGGAGAAGGGCCGTCCGGCGCTGTCCGGATGGGGCTGGGGGACGGGCAGGGCCATCCAACCACTGCCCAGATGGGGGTGGCCGATGGGAAGGGCCATCCAATGACTGTCCTGATGGGGCTGGCGGGATAGGAAGGGAAGGGCCATCCAATCAGTCCAGATTAGGCTCAAGGGACGAGAAGGGCCATCCCGCCGCTGTCCGGATGGGGGTGGGCGACGGGAAGGGCCATGCAACCTCTGTCCTGATGAGGCTGGGGGACGGGAAGGCCGGTGTCAAGGCCAACCCTGAGGCCAGGCCGGTGGAGCACGAAAAGCGAAGCAGGAGGTTTAGCCTGAGCGTCGGGCGGGACCCGATTCCTCCCAGCAAAAATGAGAAAAGGAGGGATGGACCACAAGAACAGGGGATGGAGGAGGACGAGGCGGCGGGCGGGTGGGCGTGTCTTGGACCCTGAGCCCTCTTTAAGTCTAGAGCCTCCCATGGAGGGGGTGGGAGATCCCCCCCAAATCAGAGGGGACTGGAGCCAAGGTGGGGTTGAGCCCTGGTCGGTGAGCGGGCGCCACCCAGTGGCCAGACCGGGCACGGCGCCCCCTCACCCTCCCCCCGCCGTCCGGGAGGGGGTCTCTGCCTTGGGACTCGGGGCCCCACCCAGAGGGCGCCTCTGTCACCTCTCTCAACACCCCACGACCCTGCATTTCAAGAGTCATATTATCATTTCACGTGGAAATACACGTTTCTTCCGCTGTATGGAGACGGGTAATAAAAGCATTCCCGTGGCTTGCTGTCTTTATTGACTGGTCCCACACCCTCTGGGTCTCCACCTGGAAGCAAAAGAAATTATCCTTCGAAAGCCCGCCCCCAGGCCCGGCCCCGCCCCCGGCCCCGGAGATTGGATTTAATTGGTCCGGGCGGGGACTGGGCAGGGAGATTTCTGGCATCTGCCAAGACAGACCTGGGCCCAAGACCCCTCCTGCAGGAATGCAGGGTCAGGGGGGCCCAAGGAACGTGGACGTCTGCAAGCCCCCCAGACCCCGGCGGCTGGGACCTTTTCCTGAGCCCTGGACTTCAAGTCCAGAGGCTTCTGGGCTAAGCTCCCCATCCCACTGCCTGCCATGAGCTGGAAGGCCTTTGCAAGGACATTGCCCTCTGTTGGCTTCAGTTCCCCTTAGATAATCTGGAAGAGAACAGTGGCCTTAGGTTGCTTGCCCCTTTGGGGAATCTGCGAGAGCAATGGGCCCTTTTCCCAGAAGCCTGCCTGGGGTGACCCTCTGTGCCCCTGACCGTGGGTGGCACCAGGGTGCTGGGTTAACCCCTTTCGTCCTCATCACAACTCCAAGAGTTGGACACTTTGCACATGAGGAAAACAAGGCACAGAGAGGTTAAGGAATGTGCCCAAGGTCACACAGCCAGTAAATGGTGAGGTTGGGTTTGGGGATATTGACCACGGTGTCTTCGAGAAACTGGCACAGGAAGGCAGCTTCCTTTTTTTTTTTTGAGTCAGTTTCACTCTGACGCTCAGGCTGGAGTACAGTGGCATGCTCAAGGCCACCACAGCTTCAACCTGCTGGGCTCAGGTGATCCTTCTGCCTCAGCCTTTCATGTAGCTGGAACCACAGGCATGCACCACCACAGCCAGCTAATTTCTTGGTTTATTGTAGAGATGAGGTCTTGCCAAGTTGCCCAGAAGGTCTTAAACCCCTGGCCTTAGGCAATCCTCTCGCCTCTGCCTCCCAAAGTGCTAGGATTACAGGAGTGAGCCACTGTGCCCCGCAGAAGGCAGCTTTCTAATTGGAGACTCTGGGAACCCAATGCGATCTGTGGGCTGAGGGTGACTCACCGGTGACTTCCGGATATTACAGATCAGGGAACACAGCGGGGAGTAGACAGAACTGGTTCCGATACAGACTCTCTGTGTGGCCTTGGACAAGTGACCTCATTGCTCTAGCCTCAGTTTCCCCTCTAGCTCCTACCTTGTAGGAGAAAATGGAGGAACACACGAGATTGGAAAGCACACAGTAGGTGCTCATTAAAGAGAGTCATGCGGATACAGAAACAATCACAGGGCGTCCCCATCCCTCCCACCCAGGTGTCTTGGCCTTTGCACGGGGGGCCCCCTGAAGGGGTTCCTGCCAAGTCCAGCTCCTCCCTGACAACATCAAGTTGAACCCAGCTCTGTCTGCCTCAGCAGCGCTGCTTTCAATTTTGTTTCTTTCGAAATCCACACATAGAAGTTTCATTTTCTTTTTCCCCAGAAAGTTAATCTCGCCAGGCTGACGCGGCGTTTATTTCCGGGGTGTGAGCAGCTGACGCTGCCTGGTCGAAATCAGCATCCCTTCCCTGGTGAGTTCAGAGCTGCTGGAAGCCTCAGGCCGAGCCACTTAAGGACACCCAGCCTGGACCTGGCCCACCTTCTCTGAGCTGCAGGGCAGGGGCCTGAGCCCCACCAAGTGTCCCTGGGACCCTGCAGCTGCTGACAGCATGGCCGAGGCCCCTGCTGATCCGGGCCAAGAAGGTATGGCAGGTCTTCCTTCCCAGGGGCAGTGATGGTTCCCGGAGGGGACCTCTCCTTCTGGCTCCTCTCCTTGCGGTGATGGCAGCAGTGCTCTCCAGAATGGCGGTAGGAGGGAGGACAGCACGACCTCATGCCCTGAAGGTGTCTGTGCGCTTTTCTGGCCAAGCGTTCTGTATGCCTTTCTTGGTGGCTCCCAGGGGCAAGTGCAGTGGCGTTCCTGTTCACAGGTGGGATGACTGAGGCCCTGGAGGCGAGATGGCGAGCAGTGGTGCCGGAGTCTTGCAGTCGTGTTGAGGAACGGGGTTGCTTGATGGGCTCTGTGCGTGCCTGTGTTCCCTCGCTACCTTCTTTCCTAGACAAACATCCTGGAAGAGTGAGCGGTTGCTCTCCAGGGACGCCGCAGCAGCCTGTGGGCGGAGGGTGGCTCTGTGGCCTCGGGGTTTTGCTGTTTGGGTTTTGATCCTCACCGCGATCTTTGAAGCAGCTGCTGTTATCTCCACCTCACAGACGGTGACTCTGAACTCAGGCAGTCCCAGGACTAGGAAGTAGCAGGCCTGGGCGCAAGCCTGAGAAGTCAGCTTCGGGGTGAAAGAGGACAGGGATGGCCTGAAGGAGCTGTCAGACGATCGGTAGCTGGGGTCTTCCTGGAGCTCCTTCTCCTCAGGGCTCAGGCGCAACCTAAGGGACTAGCACCAGTTCTGACAGCTTTTCTGGTCATCCCAGTTAATTTTCCTTTTATTACCAACATCTGCTCCAGCACCCCTACATCCTGTACCCCAACACTCCAACACCCTAGCACCCCTACACCCTACACCCCAACAACTCTACACCTGATACCCCACACTCTAACACCCCAGCACCCCTACACTGCTACACACCTACACCCTACATGCCAACATTCCAACACTCCAACACCCTTATACCCTATACCTCTACACCCTGTACCCCGATACCCCAGCACCCTTACACCCTACACTCCAACACTCCAACACCACTACACCCCAACACCCCTATACTCTAACACACCAACATCCTAGCACCCCTACACCCTACACACCAACACTTCAACACCCTTATACCCTATACCCCTATACCCTACACCCAACACCCCAGCACCCCTGTATCCCTAAACCCTACACTCCAGTACCCCATGCTCTCATGTCCCCAAACCCCAGCACTCCAGCACCCCTGTACCCCTACACCTCTACTCCCCTATGTCCCTACTTCCTTGCACCCCTGCACCTGCTGCATTTCACAACCCCATCTAGCTGGGACCCTCGCAGGTCCTCCAACACAACACACCTCTGGCTCCACCTCTCCTCTGGGGCTCAGCGGAGCGGGAGGAGGCTGCCTGGGGGCAGGTTTTCAAGACTCCAAACTCTGCCAGATGCGGGGGAAGCTGGTGTGTCATCAGTTGCCGGGGGGTCCACGGCACCTGGGGGAGAATTTGGCAGGTGCAGGCGGGGTGCTCCCGGCAAGTCTGTCGATGTCCTGGCCACAAGGGCAAAACACACGCGTATACGCCCCTCCCCCATGGTGCGGCGGCCAGGAGCCCGCCACCTGGACCCTGACCAGGAAGCTATGGCTGAAGACAGGGCCGCCGCCCAGGAGGGGCGGGGTCTTCCAGGAAGGGCCCTGTGCTGCACCCCTTGAGGATTCTTGATGCGGAACCTTCCTGGGGACGACAGGGCCGCCATCCACAGTGTCCCTCTAGCTGCGGGGGCCGGGGGCTGCCAGCCCGGTGTCAGCCCCGACCTCACCTCCCAGGAGAGCAGCTGGTCTTGATCTTTTTTTAAAACGTAAGCTGACAGTTTTGACTCTTGCGAGCTTTCCCAGGAGGGGCAGGGCCGCTGGGAGAGTTCCTCCTTGATCTCACGAGGTCCTGCCTAGGGCTCATAAAACTTGGGCCAGGAAGCAGGGGTTCCCGCCAACCGGCCAGGGAGGTGCTGCCCGGGCCCTGCCCTGAATCAACTGGCCGACGTCTGTCCCTGGAGAGGACGGATCCGTTCACTCGCTCATTCACCTAGTCACTCATTCACTCAGCATCCATCTCCTGAGCACTCATGGTATGCCCAGCCCTGTGCTCGACACTGAAGGTGTGACAGCAAGCCAGGCCAGCCCGGCAGGGGACCCTTGGGGACATCCTGCAGCATCCCACCCACTCTGGGGCACAGGAGACAGCTTCCCAAAGGAGATGGCATCTGAGCAGGACCCAGAAGTTGGGTAGACACTGGACGGGTGATGGGGGGCAGCGCATGTAAAGGCCCTGGGGTGAGAGGGTGAGGAACCGAGGGCAGCACAGACAGGTGGGCACTTGGAGAGAAGTCAGGGGCACATGCAGGCAGGACAGGGTACTCAGCAGAGCCGGGGGATGCTGGGTGGAGGGAGGGTCAGAGGGAACCTGACTGGATCTGGTGGGCCCACCACTGATGTCCAGGAGCTGGCACTGGCGGGGGATCTGAGAGGAAGTCAGGAATGGCGTTTCCTGGGCTCTTTGGCGGGCAGCGGGGAAGGTCCTGCTTCTGGGTCCCTCTGGCCTGACTGAATAGTGACCCATCAATGGATGGCAAGCCCTGAGGGGGCTTCCCCAGGGAGGATGGACTTGGGATCAGAGGACACAAGGACACTCTCTTCCCTCCTGCTCCACCCTTCCACCCTCTCCTTCCCTCTGCCCCAAGGATGCCAAGACAGGCATGTTTCCACCCACCGTCTGGCACCTACCCTGGGGCATACACGAGGCTGGGCACCTCCTCGGTCCACCAGGCCATCCAGCCAGGGTCACTTCTGCTCTGCTGGGCATCTGCTGGGCCTTCCACCCTCTTCCTCTTGCCTAGACCCCACTCCAGGCAGGCAGCCCTGGCTTCCGGAGCCCCCAGGCTGGCTCAGCCATGGGGCGAGTGGCTCAGTCCCTCTCCCTGTCCCTCCTCGTCCCCAGGCCACCTTGAAAAGGCGATCCTGCGGGTGCTGACGGAGGCCAATGGCACCATGAAGACAGCCCAGCTGGTGAAAGAATGCCGCGTGACCAAGAAGGAGCTCAACCAAGCCCTTTACCGCTTGAAAAACAAGCAGGAAGTCTCCCAAGTGGCCCCCAGCACATGGCGTGTGGGCGGGGATGGGCTTGGAGGCAGCAGGGGTCCCGCACAGCTGGCCCTGCCTGGCCCCGGTAACTGGCCACTCCCAGTGGGGAACGAGGGGAGAGGTCTGACCCAGCAGGGGCCACCCTGGTGACAGACCAGCCCGGGTTCCAAGCCAGGCTCTGCCACGTGGGGACACAGGGGGTTGTGCCTCGATTTCTCTTTCTGGTACCCATAGGGCTGCTTTGCAGGGGCAGCCAGGAGGATGAGCTGCCTAGGGCTTGGCCCAGCGCCAGCACATAGTAGGTGCTCAGCAGAACCTTCAGGATCCTGACAGAATGCATGATGATGATGACAGCAATGCTATAGTGGCACAAATAACAGAATGCACACAGTGCTTCACCCACCAGGGCCCTGTCCCCGTTACAGTCAACAAACAGAAAGAGCTAACCAGCCCTCACATGGCCCAGGGGCGGGGAGGTGGGAGGTCTTGTTCCTCCCCCTTTTCTGCTCAACAGGAAGTTGAGGCCCAGACAAGTGACTTAGCAGGAAGCCACAGAGCCCCAAGGAGGCAGGGCAGAGTTCTAAGCAGAGTGTGTTTAACTCTGGGATCTGAGTCTGAAACTCCTGGCAGCTGGGCCCGGTGGCTCACGCCCGTAATCTCAGCACTTTGGGAGGCCAAGGCGAGAGGATCGCTGGAGGCCAGGAATTCAAGACCAGGCTAGACAACATCGTGAGACCTTGTCTCTACAGTAAATCAAAAATTTTAGCTGGGTATGGTGGTGCGCACCTATGAAAGGCTGAGGCAGGAGGATAAGCTCAGCTCAGGCGGTTGAGGCTGTGGTGAGCTGTGATCGTGCCACTGCACTCCAGCCTGGACAACAGAGTGAAACCCTGACTCAAAAAAAAAAAAAAGAAAAAAGAAAAGAAAGAAACTCCCTGGTCCCAGGGCCACCAACCCACTGTGGCCCACTCCAACCTGGTGCCATCTCCTGTGCCCACGCCCTGACTGGTCCCTCTCTCTCCAGCTGAGATGACCCAGCAAGATGCAGTTGCAGTTCCGGAGAATCCTGGCCCCCAGTTCAGCCAACAACGGCGTAAGCAGCTTAATTTCCTCAGCTCTGGGGACATTCCCCACAACTCCCAGCACCCCAAGGGCCCGAGATGTCACAAGTTTCAGGGGTCATGGCCCACCCAGACTGAGTCTCTGCCGGGGAAGACTAAATGCTGAAGTTGCTCTCCACTCACTGGGTCCCTCCTGCGTATCCGCCACGTACTGGGCATGGCAGGAGCACTGAGCGCTCACCCCATCCTCAGAACACCTTCTGCAAAGCTGTGTCCTGAAGTTGTCATCTTGAAGGGGCCTGGGGGCATGGGCTGAGGTCCCACAGAGGTGGGAGGTGGGGCAGGTGCCAACTCAGGCCCCTCCCTGACCCCCCGGCCATCCCACTTCCCAGAGGATGACATCTACCGGTTTCTGAAAGACAAAGGGCCGCACAGGGCCCTGGCCATCGCCCAGGCCCTGGGCATGAGCAGAGCAAAGGACGTCAACCCAGACTTGTACCAGATGAAGAATCGGCACCAGCTGCACTTGGACGAGGGGTCGAAAATATGGACGGTTTATCCCACAGGTAGGCCCTGACGCACGCCAGTGCTGGGCAGGCAGGGGGGCGGAAAGAGGCCACTGGCACAAGCACTTGGCCCTGGCCAGCGCTCTGCTGGGCACAGTGCCTGCCCTACCTTGGCAGAAGCTTCCAGTGGGCCTGCTGACAGTCCAGGGGAGGAGGTTCCAACCTTCCAGAAGCTTCCCGGTGGACCTACTGGCAGTTCACAAGAGTGGATTCCAACCTTCCAGAAGCTTCCAGTGGTCCTACTGACAGTCTAGGGGAGGGGGCTCCAACCTTCCAGAAACTTCCGGTGGTCCTGCCAACTGTCCATGGGAAGGGGGTTCCAACCTTCCAGAAGCTTCCGGTGGTCCTACTGACAGTCCACGGGGTTTCCAACCTTCCAGAAGTTTCTGGTGGGCCTGCCGACAGTTTATGGGAGGGTCTTCCAGGCGGGAGAGGCCTGCTGGTGGGATTAACCATGGAGGGCTTCCTGAAGGCGGAGCCCAAGGGCTGCAGTTGTAGAAGGCAAGGGGCTGGGAGTGGGCAGCCCACACCACATTTTATCAGCTCTGGGGTGTGGGGCCAGTCTGGACTTGGGGTAGTTTTCTGTGGGTACTTTGCCTAGCTTGGAGCTTCAGAGCTGGCAGGAAAGAAGGCAAGGCTGAACTTGGGTGCCTCAGGGGTGGCCCCGGGCCGGTTTATTCGTTGGGAACAGCGGGGTCTGGGCCCAGTGCCCACAGTACTTTCAGGAGTTTGCGGACGTGTTTTAATTTTCTTTCAAAATCAGAAGAACAAATGGATACTGTGTTAACGAGTATCTACCGATGAGTCCAGCCTGGGCTATTTTTGTCTTTATACCAAAACAATCATAAAAAGTGATGTTCATATTTTTATTATGGCAGGAAAGTCCAAGAAAAAAGAGCCACGGACCCGTGAGGGCAGCGATGGGGCCCCGTGGGATCCACGCAGGCGTGGCTAGAGGGGCAGGGCCACCTACGGCCCAGCCACGCCATCCGTGAGAGCATCCGCTCGACGGTCGGGACACCCCCCGTAGCCCTGGGAGAGACGTTCTCCCCTCTGGGCCTCAGTTTCCCCAACTGCAAAATGAGAAACTTGGTTCTGGAATCTGAATCGTTGTATCCCCAGTGCTGAGCTCTGAGCCCCACCTTCCCAATTCTGGCCTCAACCCCATGGAGCCAGCTCACCTGCCCACCATGCCCAAGGGGTTCTCAGCATCCTAGGGCAGGTCTTTAGGAAGCAATGCCTGTGACCGCAGCCCAGATCTGAAGCACTGCTGACAAGTTCAAGTCCTCAAGATGTCGTGTGAGCCAGGCATGACTCCTTGGCCATGGGCTGCCATCCTTTGGCTATTGTCCAAGGGAAAAGGTGGTCCAGGCTGTGGATGCCTCCCAGGGAGGGGGACCAAGGGCAGGGACAGCAACGTGGGGTCTCCCAGTGAGCAGTCCTGTGGACCAGGTACAGGGACACCTGTGGTGTCTCTTAAGCACCAGGTTCTAGGGCCCTACCCCGGATTCCCAGGATGGCACCTGGGAACTGTTGTAACAAACGCCCCAGGAGCATGTGCCACCTATGGGCATTTGGAACTCCTGACCCCAGAGAGGTGCAAAGGGATAGAGTGGGATATTATTTTGCAGAAGATTCTGGAAGAGGAATAGGAAACTCATCTGTTCCAGTTGTTTATCAGCAATGTCCGATCACTATGATCTGCCAGAATGGACCAAACAGCCACATTTCCATCGCAAACTCTGAGGCCACACAGATTGGACACGGGAACGTCATTGCAAAACAGATGGCCTGGGGGGAGAAAGGTAACTCGCCTGAGGGACTCTGGAGAAGGGACCTTGGCGGGGGTGGGGCAGGGAGTGGGGTTCAACCCAAGGGGAAAGGGCAGCTTCCCAATCTCTCTGGTTCCTTTATGGCCTTCCTCAGAATGAGGGGCCTGGATCAAACCTCTTCTGCTTCCCCTTCACTCTGATACGTTTCGTCTCATTTTCATTGGAATTTGATATTTTTCCATGAGAAACCACTAGATTCAGTCTCCCTTGGTAGAATGTCATAAGCCACAGGGAGTGACTGTAGCGTTTTATTTGTCCTGAGACACACTATTCCCCCCCCACATTTTAGCAGGTTGGAATTGGGATGCACCTTGCCACCTGTGTCACCCTAGTGTCCTTGAAATATGGCCTTGCAGATTGAGCCCTCACTCCAAGCCAGGCACTATGGCGAGAGGAGCAGGGCCACCTACCCGACCAGCCACGCCACCCACGAGAGCATTGGCCCAAGAGTCAGGACACTCCTGTAACTCTGGGAGGGGCATTCTCCATTCTGGGCCTCAGTTTCCCCAACTGTGAAATGAGGAACTTTGTTCTCAAATCTGGATAGATTCCCCAACTCTGAGACTCTGAGCCCCACCTTCCCAGTTCTGGCCTCATCCATGTCTGATTATTTAATGAACGCTGTTATAGGGCTTGCCTGTTTTTCTACCCCAATTTATTTAAAAACAATTCTGTAGCAGTTCCTTAAGTTGAAAACCCGAAGTTCACTGTAAAAGTTAATGCTGGGAAGATGAGACCATGTCTGAGGCGCTGAGCCTTGGATGTTGAGAGGCGTTAAAGGTGTGCTCGCGCCGAAGGAGACTTTCTCCTGATGGATCAGAGGACAGAGAATGGCTGGGAGTCAGAGCGAGTCGCTCGTTGTTTGGGCTTGCAAATGTTTCCGCAATGCCCAGGCATGGCCACGGTCACAAAAAGCTGAGACCCAGCACGGGCGGCTCTGCTAGGTCCTCCTTCTCCCCAAGCTGGAGCAGGAAGTGGTCAGTTCCCCATACGATGTTGTCTAGGAAGAGCTGAGAGACCTGTGTCCTCTGTCCAGCCAGGGCTATGTGTGTGTGTGTCTGTGTGTGTGGTGGTGAGGGGGAGAGAGGGCCCAACCTCTGGGGAAGAAGCCTGCAGTCACCTCCAGTGAGACTGTGTCCCCTGCCAGGCTCCTCGGCTCCCGGCTACCTCCCTCGAATGGCACTGGGTGTTTCCTCAACTCAGGGTCCCGCGGATGGCACCTGGGGGCCCCAGGACATCCGCTTGGAGCGATCCCTGCTCAAACGGGTGCAGCTGGGACATGGCAATGAGATGAGCCTGCACAGCACCCCATCTGAAGTCCCTGCCCACACCCCCTCGGGAAGCCCTCCAGGTAAATGAATGGAGGGACGTTCAGTCCTTGATGGGAGGGACTGGAGCCAAAGTCTCTGCAGGGAGAGAGGCATCATGGGAAATTCCTCTCCTTCCACAGGAGGCTGAACCACAGAGCAGAGCAGGTGGGGATGCCCTGCTACCCACTGCAGGAAGCCTCAGTTTCCTGGGCTCAGTGGGGCAGAGAGACAGTGGCCTAGGCAGGAAGGGCATGTGTGGGTGGTGGGGCGGCCAGGCCAGGGCTGGGCACTGCGGGTGACAGGGCTGCCGCTGGGAGCCTCCGGGAGGAGAGTGATCAGGGAGGCCTTGAGCGCCAGGCTGGGGTCTAGCGGCCCCCCTCCCGGCCTCTCTCTGCCTGACCCACAGTGTCGGCCACCCCGACCAGCGCTGGTGCCTCCTATGAAGTGCAGATGCCCCAACCAGGACCTCACCCTGAGGGGGCCGCAGCCCAGAAAGTCCACATCAAATCCTGCTCTCTGGAGGACGCCACCATTGGCAACAGCAACAAGATGATGGTCAACCCCAGGGTGGCTGGTCCAGGAGGAGCCACAGAGGAGCAAGGGGAGGATGCAGGTGAGCCTGAGGGCACAGTGGGCCCCTGTATGTTCTTTCTCCCCAACCTCCTATTCATTCATTCATTCATCCATCAGTCATTCACTAGCCTCCCATTTCCCCGAGTCTGGGAGGCAGCACAGGACGATGGCAAAGACCAGGGGTTCTGGTTGTACATCGCTGGGGTTCTCATCCCTCTCGGTGCCGGACCTCACCTGAGTCATTCAGGTCTCCAGGCCTCTGTCTCTTCATCTGTAAAATGCAGATGGTAAGAACAGCTTGCAGGGATTGCACAGTTATTTCAAGGATCAGATAAAATGTGCAGGGAGGCTGGGCTCAGTGGCTCAGCCTATGATCCCAGCACTTTGGGAAGCCGAGGCGAGTGGATTGCCTGAGCCTGCAGGCTCAAGACCCACCTAGGCAACTCGGCAAGATCTCATCTCTACAATAAATCAAAAATTAGCCGGGCGTGGTAGCGCATGCCTGTAGTTCCAGCTACTTAGAAGGCTGAGGTGGAAGGATCGCTGGAGCCCAGCAGGTTGATGCTGGGGTGGCCATGAGCATGCCACTGCACTCCAGCCTGGGTGATGGAGTGAGACTCCAATTCAAAAAAAAAATTAAGCAGGGAAAGTGCTAAGCACTGCACCTGCCACATGCTCAGGCCTTGGGGGCATTATGATCTTATCATGCCCAGGGAGTTGTTTGGGGCCTCAGGATCGGCCCTGGGAATAGGCTAGCCTGCTGCAGCACAGACCCCAGATGTGGCAGTGCCTGTGAGCTCAGAGTTCAGACCTCTCTCAGGTCCATGGGAGGAGCAGTCCAGGCTGCTCCACAAGCTTTCTGCAGACCAGGGCTCCTTCTCCCTCAAAGTTTGGCTGTCCAAGAGCTCGGTCCTCACCTCTAGGGTTGAACTTGGCACAGGAGGGGATGGGAGGAAATGACTGGAAAGACAGCCATGACCATGACCAAGCACTCCTGCCATGCCTGTGCTGATCCCAGGACCTGCCCTTGGTTGCAGGGAGGCTGGAAATGGCGCTGTGTCTGGCTTGTCTGAGCCCAGCTGAGACTGAGGGGAGGGAGTCCTACTGCCCACAGGAAGAAGGGGGACATTCTTCCTCACTCCCTGGGCTGCAGAATGGATGCTGTGTTAGCAGACACAAAAGCAACATTTGGCTCCTTTATGCCTTCATCAGAGCTCTTGGGTGATGGGGTGCATTGTCACCAGCGGTAATACTCTGAAAGGAATCCTTCTCTGAGCAGTAGGTCTCAACAGTTGGCTTAAAACATCCAGTAAGCTGTGCTGTCCGCAGACGTGCCATCACCCGAAGGGAGCACAGGCAGAGCAGGTCTGGCCCTTCTTGCAGGCTCCAGGACTGGGGGACAGTCTGTGAGTCTTGGCTCCAGCCAATAGTCACAGCCACACCTGCCTCCAACAAGAGCCAGCCTGTCCTTGGAGCTCAGCCAGGTGCTGACTTCTCTCCAGCGATGAGCATCCTGGGTGGCGTCTTCTTCCTTGGGAGGCTCTTCCATCCGCATGGCAGTCTGTGGCTCAGTGTTGCCACCTCCACCCATGATCTCAGGTGGATCTTCTGGAGAACTCACAGCAGCTTCCCCGCCAGCACCTGCTGTGTGGCCTTTTGCTTCGCGGAGACGGCTGCTTTCCTCAAACCTCGGGAACCAGCCTCTGCTGGCTTCCAACTTTCCTCCTGCTTCCGCCTCCCTTCTCTTGGCTTCCCCAGGACTGAGGAGAGTCGGGGCCTTGCTCTGGATGAGGCTTTGGCCTGAGGGGTGTCAGGGCTGGTGTGCGCTTTTCTCCAGATCCTGAAACTTTCTCCATACCAGCAGCAAGGCTATTTCGCTCCCTTACTGTACATGTGTTCGCTGGAGGAGCACTTTTAATTTCATTCCAGGACTCTCCCTTTGCATTCGCAGCCTGGCTGTTTGGCACAGGAGGCTAAGCCTTTGGCCTGTCTCAGCTTCCGACCAGTCTTCCTCAGACGCTGACTCGCATCTAGCTTTCAATTTAAGGCGAGAGACGTGCAACCCTGCCTTTCCCTGAACACCCGAAGGCTCCTGCAGGGTCCTTCACTGGCCTAATTTCATCATCATCTTGTCTCAGGGAAGAGGGAGGCCCGAGGAGAGGGAGAGAGACTGGGCACGGCGGGTTGGTGGGGCAGTTGCAACACATGCATTTATCAATTAAGTTCACCATCTGGTGTGGGCACAGTGTATGGAGCCCCCAAAACAATCATAACAGTGACATCCGAGACCGTGGATCACAGCCCACCACAACAACTGTCATAGTAATGAAAAGGTTGGAAATATCGTGAGAGTCACTGGAATGTGACACAGACACAAAATGAGTGCACGCCATTGGAAAAACAGCACGATGGACGTGCTTGATGAGGAGTTGCACAGACCTCCCACTCGTAAGAGACACAGCATCCACAAAGTGCGTGAAGCAGAATAGTCAGGCAGTGCTGTGGGTAGGTCAGCTATAGCTTCCTCCTCTTGGCAGTGGGACCTCATCTTGAGAAGCACAAGGCCCCGGGTGTTGGATTTTGTTTGAGAGAATGGTGGGTCAGAGGCAGTCAGTGCTGGAGTGTGTGAGGCCATCTTCTGGATCCCTAGGAGGACTGGGGGAGCCCTGGGGTGGGGGCTTGTAGCTGTCATTCCCGCTCCCCTGTCTCACTGCTGTGAACTTGGCCAGGACAGGCCACACTATCTGCACGGCCTAACACAAAGTGGAAGGCATGTCCCCAGTCAGGATGATATGCTTTTCAAGACGACAACAGCAGACATTGAACTGAGCTCCCTCTCCTCCAAGGGTGGGTCCCCATGGCACCGTCCAGGGCGCTCGCCTGTGATACTGACCACCCCACCTCTTTCCCCAGATCCTGGTCCTGCAGCCATACCAACCAGAAGCGACATCCCTGGTGACGTGGGTGCAGCTGTCCCTGACAGCATCTCGGTGCTCGCCCCCAGGATGGAAGCTGTGACTCTTGGGAGCCAAGACCCCGAAGTCACAGAAGGGAGTCACTGCACAGACAAAACCCCGGACTCTGGAAGCCAGAGGGGAAGAAGGAATCAGAGCAGACAGCCTCAGGCAGACACGCTCGGCACACGCTAGAGGACCTCGGTCGGGTGCCTTCTGCGTTCCACAGACGTACTTCTCACCCACTTGCTTCCTGACACATGGCTCGTGTGAGCCAGATTTTAGGGGTGGGCTCAGGCCAGGCCTCCTGGTGGCTAGGGGCAGACTAACAGGGGCCACCTTGGGGAGCAGGGTGGGTGAAAGTGAAGCTGAGCCAGGCTGGCCCGGGCTTGCCTTGAGCTGTCTTCCATTATGGTCACCTGCAGTGGTTGGAATGTGTCCCGCAAAAGTCCTGTTGCAGCCTCACAGAAATGCTATGATAGGAAGAGGTGGGGCCTGTAGGAGATGAGCAAATCCTGCAGGCAAATGGGATCGGTGCCCTCACAAAGGGCTCACAGGAGTCTCTGTGTCCCGTCTGCCTGTCCCCCGTGTGAGGACGCAGCAACACAGTGCCCTTGGCAGACACAGAATCGACCGGCACCTTGATCTCAGCCTTCCCAGACCCCAAGCCTGTGCACAATAAATCCCCACTGCTTGTAAAGTGCCTGGCATGGGGCATTTTGTTCCAGCAGCCTGAAATGGCTCAGACACTATCTGCTCTCTTCTCACTCAAGACCTGACTGCTTTGAGGCCCACTGTGGCCTCCTGGCCTCTTGACCACCTGACCTTTCTAGAAGCTTCTCTCCTCAGCCTTGACCTCTCAGGATGTGTTAGCTGAACTTCCAGAGAGTACATTCTTCTCCCCCAGCCCCTCCCCCACCCCAGCCCCTGGCAGCAGTCATGGGTCAGGTGACCTCTCCCAGCCAATCAGCAGGGAGTGCGTGTTACATACCAGCCACAACCAGCCGCTGGGACTGAGTTCCCTTTGGAGTATGGGCGCTGTGACATTTCCAGAACCAAGGGGCTGGGGGAGGCCTGGCGGTCACTCGGGGAGGATGACAGAGAAGGTTGGAGGGCGGAGGTGATCAGTCAGGCAGGGCGACTGTGGAACAGGCACCGTACCACCCTTCACATGCACACACGTGCACGCATGTGCACACGTGTACACACACGCACACACGTGCACACACATGGCCCTCTGTCTGCTGGCCTCCGATGTTACACCCATCCCTCGGGCAGGCCTTTCCCACACACTGCTGTGTCTCCTCCACTGGCCCTTGGGAGCCCAACACCCAGAAGCCCCTGAGGCCAATCTACCGTGGTGGAGGGATGAGCTCATCACAGGGCCTCAGTACCAAGGTCACTGAACAGATCTGTGTCCCCTTGCCCAACTCAATTGGGAGGGCCTCGGGGCAGATGTCTTGGCATATTGACCAACACACAGAACTTACAGTTTGTTTGCTATGGGGACTCCCAAGACATCGCTCGAGCTCCTGGATCCAGTCAGTCCTGAAGTAGGATCTATCTTTGCCCTGGCCCATTAGCAGAGCCGGTAAGTCCCCTTAGTGCTGAATCCAGCTCCCTTGGGATTTCTGTTTTGCACTGCAGCTTGCCCTTCTCCCCCCCCCCCTTACGTCACTGCTCCTCAGTTGAGACCTCACAGAAAGACTTGGGAGCTCCCAGGCTAGCCTGGTGCCTCCTCCCTGCCCTGAGGTCTCATGTGCAGCCCCTACCATGCCTGCACCTCGCCGCCCTGCCATTATTGCCCGATTTCGTCTTTATCTCTCAGGGCTCCTTTGATTGTAGATGACAGAAAGCTGGGACTTGCTCAGCCCAAAAAAGGGATACTGGCCCTTCTAATAGGCAAGTCCAGGCACAGACTCTCCTGCGGGAATGTCTGGATCCAGGAGCTCAGATAATGTATTAGAACTCAGCCTCCCTCTGTTTCTCTGCTCTGTTTTCTTCTGTGTTTGTAAAGATGGCCCCTGACAGCTCCGGGCCCCCTGCACCAGCTTGGTCGTCCACTAGAGGAGCTCACTTTCCAAACAGCTCTGGTCACGTGCCCATCCCCCAACCAGTTATTGGCCGGAACAATGGGATGCTTTGATTGGCTAGCTGGTGTCACATGACTCATCTCTGGCACCAGGAGGAGGATCAGCCAATCACCTGACCTGGCGGTGAGGGATAGGTTCTCTAAACTTGCCAGAATGCAGACGCTGGACAGGTGAGACCCTCTGAAGTCCACTGCGCTCCCCAGCCTTGGACGGTGAACTTGCTGGGCTCAGCAGCCTGCCTTTGACTCTGACTCTCTGACTTTGACTCTGGGCCTTCAGGGCCCAATGTACATGGGACAGGATCCTTCATTCCCTGCAGACCAAGCCCGAGGGAGAAGGAGACAAAGCCCTGCCCTCCTGTCCCCCACGAACCGAGAAGGTACACACACCTATGGGCAGTGAGTTCTGAGCAGGCATAACCCCAGGGGTTATGGGAATTTGGGACAGGGTCCCCGACACAGCTTGAGGAATCTGGTAATTTTTCTGGAGGAGGTGAAAACTTTAGACCTCGTTCTTCAAGACCAGGCAGAGAGAGGCGACTGGGTGCACCATGGTCTGTGTACTGCCAAAGAGCCCAATAGGAAGAAGAGAGAATGGTGGTCACTGGCAAGAGTCTCTGGGGCTGGACCACGGGCACCTGGGAATTTGGCCTGGACATCCGGCCCCATCCAAGCCCAGCCCACAGGGAGACCCGGACAAGCCACACAATGAGATACAGTCACCGGATTCATGATGGGGCTGGCGGAGTTGTCCCACGAGCTGGAATTGCCCAGCCCAACTGGACCAAGTTGTCTCAACCTCCATGCCGACCTGGGACCCCCCAGCCGTTCTCTCATGGGGTGTCCTGTTTGCACACAAGAGTCGCCAGATGTGGGGGATTAATGCTGGGCTTGGCAGGGGGTCTGGGAACTGTCCTCCTCCAGCTCAGAGCTGCAGATCCTTTGCCTACCTCAGAGCCTGGGCCTGTGACTAGCCACCCCATGCCAGCAAGGAGTCAAAACACAGCTCCCACCACAGTGCAAACGAAAACACTCATTTCTCAGCAAGATTCCCCATGTAATTAATTGGTCATAAATACACAGACAAAGCATCACTGGCAGCTAATGGGGCTGGAGGTGAAGGTCAATGCTGGTGTCCTCGGGAAGGAAATTAACTAGCGGCCCCTGAAAGCCAGAAGGATTGAATCCCTCCCCGCACCCCCGCCCTCACGCGCAGTGGCACATCCGCACCGGCCCCTCCCTAATGTCATGGCTTCCAAAACCACCAACTCGCTCACTGGCTCAACTCTGCACTCTCCCCCAGTGTCTCTCTCCTCCTCTGGCCTCATTTGTGGCGACTCAGAGCAGAGAGGAGTCCAGGGAGTAATTCAGAGACATTCTGGCCTTGAGTGTCAGAAACCAAGCTCACCCAGTCTTAAACCCAAGGCAGATTTCATTTGCTTAAGGAACTAGAAAATCAAGGCATGCTTTGGTTCAGGAATGGCTGCATCTAGGAGCACAAGTCTTATCTTCAGTCTCCTTTCTCTCCACCTCTCTGAGAGACTCTCCACGTGGCCCCAGCCACCCAAGGCTTATGGTCTGCCAGCTAACAGGCCAGCAAAAGGAGTCTGCATCAAGCCACATGCTGCTGGGTGTGTCCCAGGGAGAGTTCTGATTGGCTGTGCATGGGTCACATGTGTATCCTTGAACCAATCAGGAAGAATGGAGTGCTCCAATTGGCTTTTGTGGGGCCCAGTGTGCTCTCCCATGGGAGGGGGCGGTGAGGTCCTGCATGTGGAACCCCGGGGGAAAGGGCTGCTGAAAAACTCAGGTGCTAGCTTCAGGGATTGGGGTATGGTGTTTCCAGAATTCTCCAAATGCAGAAGGACTTTCTCTAGGGGAGGAAAAAGAGTATCCTTCACATGAGGGACGATCCTGGGGATGAGGCACATGGCAAATTCATGTAGAGGCTGAGGAGGCTGAGACCTTGCCATGGTTCCTGGGGGGGTCAGTCTCACACCTTTTCCCTGCCTGCATGCTGAATGCATGGGGAACAGTGGACTCCTATGGAGCTGGCAGACACCAGGAACAGGCGTGACCCTGAGAACAGGCTGTGATCCAGGCTGCCCAGCCCGCCTGTGTCTGTGGTCCAGCAATCTGGACCTCTCTGTGCCTCTTTCCCTGCTTTGTATGACACCAGCATCCCTCCTTTGCCCTCCCACACAGTGCTACGGGGTCAAGATGAAATTTCACTTGGGGAGTATGCATGGCAGGCTAGGGTGGGGGACACCATGAGTGGCCTGTGAACGACAGGAAACCCACTCCCATGGCTGTTATTTATTCAAAAAGGTATTTTCACAAGACATTTGAGAAAAGCTTCCAATACGAAGGTCAGACAAAAAGCAAATAAAACATAAAAGAGGAGCCATGAGGAAGTAGAGATGATGCAGTGAACAGAAGAGGACATCAGAGCTGTCAGTGACACCCTCCAGGGAGGAGAGGCCTCACCCAGAAATGAGAGTGATTCGCTCAACGAAGGACATTTAGGAGAATAAGGAGGAGCTCTTTGGCATTAGACGGATGAAAGTGGCCAATTTTATTTTACTTCATTTGTTATTTTTTCTTTTAAGTGGGCATCCCATTCTAAGAAGCTAAAAAAGTTTTTAAAAGCAATAGAAGTGTTGGAAGAAAAAATTGAGAAAATGTTTTCCATATGGTAAAGATTTGTTTATGGACAGTAACAGGACAAAAGAGAAATGCACAGGGTTAGTGGAGTCATCCCTTAAGCTCATGAGTAGAAAGTGTGGAGAATGGAGGTGCACTTTACTTTAAAATATTTAAAAATCCTCAAAATGGAAGGCCATGAATTTCTAGATGGAAAGAAGTACTTTCCTAGTACAGAGACTATAAAAGATCCACCAAGGGACCGGTTACGATGAAAGTTCAGAAAAGCAGAGAACAAGAGAAGATTCCAAAAGCTTTCAGAGACTGGGCACAGTGGCTCACATCTGCAATCCCAGCAATTTGGGAGGCAGAGGCGAGAGGATTGCCTGAGCCCAGGGGGTCCAGACCAGCCTGGGCAACATGGCGAGGCCTCGTCTCTACAATAAATTTAAAAATTAGC